TCTATTTTTTTGGAAAATTTTTCCCCTTTTAAAAAAAAAAAAAAAAAAAAAAAAAAAAAAAAATCATTTTGTACATGGGTGCAATAGGCGCAATTATTTATTCATTTTTTAACAAAATGCGACACATTTTGGAATTCAACTGTTAATTACTGGAAAAAAACAACAGAAATCTAAAATTAGGTATTACTTTCATAAGGTATTAAGGGAAAATTAAATCTGCTAAAAAAAACAAAAAAACAAACAAACTGTCCTTTCACCATATCTTAAACAAGTCCAGTGCTGCTCAAAGCTTTTAACCCTCCAGCGGTCTTCAGAGATGAGATCATTTAGACCCCGCAAGCCTTTAACACTGTGTGCAGTCTGACGGGGTCGCACCGACTCTTTGTGCAATTTTACAAGTTTTTTTTTTTTTTTTTTTTTTTGTGTGTGTGGTTTTGGAAATTGATGGTCTGACCGGACAACCTGCTGCTTCACCCTGTCTGTGACATTTGCTCCTGAGCGTTAAATATTCAGAATTATTCAGAATCTTAACATTGTATATGCTGTTTAATTAATTTGTGTAGTACTTATAAAAAAAAAAAGCTAAGTGAGTTGCTTTTCTATAATAAATGTTTGGGGACTGGAATTATTTAGTTTTTTTTTTTCTAAATTAGTCTTGGATGTTGCAAAGACTATCCAAAATATTTTCAAATTTAATGCAGATTTTAAAATGAACAGCAACAATTTATACATGTTTTTTTTTTCTTTCTCCGTGACGCATTTTCTGACTGATGACTTGACTGATGTGAATTCTTACAGATGGACAAGAGACAAGGATTTAATAGTACTGTCATGATCTTGATTATGATGACCACAGTTTCAGGTTGTTGCAGTCAGGTAACACAATGAGAGGGTCACGTTTTACACAATTTTATTAACATTATCATAACCTCTGTAACGGTGACTGGTCCATAACTATCTGTAATCTATGGTTACGTGTCCTAATCTGCTCGCAATCTCAAGGTACTTGAGATTTTTGTCAGTGATTGTGTCTGAATTATTCAACATATCTACATAAGGTCTTAACAAGTAGAAAATAAACTTTTTAGTTAGTTTAAAGTATGTGAATAACTTCTTCAACTTAGGGTTTATTGCACAACTCAAAGTCAAGTGAGCCACTGAAACTGAAATCTTTCCAACATTTTTTTATTTGAAAGGGTAAAAAAAAAGAAAAAAAAAAAAAGAAAAATCAATAAATTCATAACTAAAACATTCCCGGTTTTATCAAGTCTCAAAAAACTGAATTAAATGAAATCATAATTTGAATTCCTGTCTTTAATCTCTTCCATGTAGGGAAGGATAACCCACGACACATTGAAGCTCAACATGCAGAAGAGTTGCTTAAATATCATAAGGCCATAAAACATACAGTGCACTTAGGGAACTACGAGTTTCACTAATGAAACCCAGATGCTGCAAAAGACACATGTCCAATAATGCAAAAGTTTCGTTCTTCATTCACGCATTCCAGCACTTGTTAAAGGTGAAATCGTTTGGCACAAATTGTCACACTGCCTTGTCAAGAAATAAATAAACAAAGAGGGTGCTAAGCCAGTAAGAGGACAGATAGTGGGATTGATGACTCTCAATTAGAGGAGGCCCAGTGGCCGGGCTAATGCCATAATGATTTATCCATGGTGTGCCGCTGCCTTTGTTGATCAACCTGATATATGTTAATCCAAAGCTCAGGCATGATTGGAATCCAAAACAAAAGACTCTGTGAAGGCGGGGATTAACAATGATGCTAAATGAAAAGAAACGGGCACGGCATGGAGACGGGGAAAGAAAAAAGTGTAAACATCAGGAATAATGGCTGCCGTGTTTGGATTAAAGGGGTTATTTGGAATCTTGCCAGGATTACAGATGCATCTGTGTCAAGGACATGTTTGTGTTTCTGAAGGCGAAAGAATCTTCATTGTCTGAGAGCCTATCAAGTGTCTGTGAATAATGAGCAAAAAAGTTGACGCATGATGCCATATAGAAATGTTCTTGTAAACTGAAATTATCTCCTTTGTCATTGTTGACGTAAACATGTGAACTGTACCTCAAAATAATCCGCCTCTATTTGGACTATTCAGGAATAGTCCAAATAAATATGCATGCATGTTTATTTGTGGTGTTCGTGTCCACACGTAGAAAGTATGAAGCTGGTTCCAGCTGATACTGTGAGGACCCACTGTCAAATCGTCAGCTGCAGCGGGACTCTCTCCGAGACGTTTTGAGCCCTGGTGTAACATTTTCAGAGAGTCTGCGTTTCGGCAGACTTTGCCTCAGGGAATTGCCCACAGTTCATAGCTTCATGACAAGTACGGCCCAGAGGCACAAAGTAAAAACAAACCAAAAAGAAAGTGTACTGGTGCAAAGATGGACGTTCTTTAGCATGTATACTTGAAGTTTAAGGGGAAAAAAAACAAAAAAGACCAAAAAAAAAACTCTTGAACATCCTACAGGTGTTCAATTTTAAATACAAAATCTTCATCCAAAATCATCATCGAGTCTGATAACAAAGAACAGGCCAGAAAATGTATCAATTGAAATGGAGGAGGAGAGAAGAACAGATGACATGACCGAAAAGTGGCACTGTTAATGCCATTCTGAGTAATAAATGTTTGGCTCCTAAATAAAGATGTAATCATCGTAGAAGTGTTGATTGTGGGTCGCTGTTAGTTCCAAAACATTACCTCACAAATGGAAAGCGTTTATAATTTCGCTATAACATTTGAGTATGTCTGCAGCTATTCACTGAAGAAACTACAAATCTGTTTTCAAAACCATGTTTAAAAAAATCCTTTTTGATAAAACCTACAGCCATAGCAGCTGAAGTTTTCCTGTCCATTTATGCATTTTTTCACCGTCTCCATTACAGACAGCTCACCTGGCCCAGTGCTTCTGTGCCTTTTTCTGGTTAGATTTGAACTGATTCTGGCCTGAAGTGGATTGTATATAATTTGATATGAATTGGACCTCTTTGACTTGTAAAGTGTCTAGACAAAGTTTAGCTGCCCTAACTTTATGTACTAACTTGTAGCATAATAACAAGAGCAGTGAAATTTTAAAATGGTTGAATTGTTTAGTTGTCAATTAAGAGCCAACTTCCCAGTCTGCTACACTGGAGTATGTGAGGTGTGAGGATACATTATTCCACAACACGGAGCACAAACAGGCTCATGAGCTTTAACATCACAAATGGAAACACATTCACAATGTGTGAACACAGCTTAACGTAGGAGCACGGCTTGTTACGATCCAACAACAGAAAACACATACGGCACAAAAAACAAAAAAACACATGTTCACACCTACTGTGTTAGATTGGAGAGCCACCAATACATTTACAACATCCTTCCAGTTTAAAAGAGGCAACACATACTAAGCAATCACAGCACCGTGTTTACAAATTAATAAATTAAGAAGTATTGGGAGCAACAAATAAAAGTTGTGTGCGGCTATAAAGAAAATGTGGCTCGACATGTCACACTTTCTTTACCTGCATTTCAAACCAACTTTGAAATGCAGGTAAAGACGACACATACGTGGATGAATCCGTCATAAACGAGTTCACTAAAAATATATCTGTGCGGAAAAGTTCAACAGATTTCTTGTTAAAAACAAGAGAACATTAAAACATAAAAGAAAAATTATGTGTGAAAAAAGGTGAAAAAAGGTACAACGAAACTGATCTCTTTAGTTTTCGGGTGGCATTGAACTATAAAGACGGCGAGATCCCCAATGATGTTACCGATTTTTTATTTTTCATAAACTTTCAAAACACTCAAACAATTGTTACACATGGTCATAATGGGGTATCTGTGTGCAAAACTGTAACATAAAATGTGGAAAAACAGAGCACTTTAAGTACTTTCCAGATAAATATTCAAGCACATAAAGTTGTGTTTATAGCTCACACCACACACTTGTTACTTTGACGCGCTCTAGAAGTATCACGCTGTGGCCATAAAATGTCTTAATTTCTTTAAGAAAACCTTTGTTTTTATTTTTTTCCAAAGTAAGATTAGGTTTTTCAAAAATAAACTACAGTAATAAAGTTGCAGACAAAGGTAGATACCACACTCTGCTAACGGTCTGGAGAGTCTCACCTGAGCTCAGAGTCGTCGCTGTGAATGGTGACGGTCTGAGGCACATTAAAGGGATTCTTCAGGACAAACTCCATGTATTCAGCAGAGCCCAGGCTGGCATAGAGGAGGTGTTGTGTGGTGATGGCCTGGCTCAGCATGCTCGCAATTCCCTCTGCTTTGCTGTACTCGTCGCTGGGTTGATGTTCTCTGATCAGCCGAGTTGCTGGATTTAGACCCTGACACCAGAAAAACACCACCAAAGGACTGATAAATGTTTCATAGTGGCATCATACTACACACCATCGTGGTCGTCACCCAAAATGTTCTCTGTGAACTGCTACGACAGTTTCCAGAGCAGTTTTGTGATCAGTCTTGATCTTCTGCGCAGCGTACTTGTGCAGCAGCTCATGGCTCTAACGCTCTCAGAGCAGAGTGTTCAGTTAATGACTTTGTGGAGTAAAATGTCATCACTACTGGTAGAAACACTGGCCAATGTACAACCAGTAAAACTCAGGTTGCACTAAATCAATAATTTTCTCCATGACCTTTCGGTGACTATTTCAAGACATATTTTAACACTTCACTGCTTCTCCACTGATTGCTTTCTTTCTACACAACACAGTACAGTTTGGATAAATGTTTTGCCAACCCAGCAGGCAGGCTTACTGCTGCAGACTCTCCGTCTACGTCAAGCGTCTGGAATAAAAACTAGGTATTCCAATTTAACAAAGAACAGCCATATTTGGGAGTGTTAAATACTGGAAATATTTTTCTAAAAGTGTTGTCAAAATGTCTTTTTGATTTTAAAAGCATACACATAAACACATGCATGTGCGTGTGGGCATGCATGTGTGTGTGTATGTCACTTGTTTTGGAGCTTGTACTCTGCTAAGAAATGAAACGCTGATTTTTCAAAAATGTTTAGCAACAAAATTATTAGCAAATCATACATATTAAACATGTTGGTATGTAAAACAGCAGACGGTCATTCTTACCAGAGTGACTCCTAACACTGACCTGCATTCTCTCATGTGTCAAAAGTCACTATAAGTTTCTGTGTGGCATCGTGTTCATTTCGCTGACCTTACCAGTAGTAAAGTCGGACATTACCATAACATTGGCTGCTGTTGTGTTCTCTTTAGCCTCCAGTCGATGCACTGCAGCCATGCAGTCCAGCTTTCGCCGTCTGCTGTCGCTGTTCAGGCTTTGTGCTTCAGGGATGATGTCCCGAGCTCTGATCCTGTTTCTGTTCAGCAGCACCAGCTCTCCATCCAGCCTGTGTTCTCGAGCCGTGTTCCTAGCTGCCAAGTAAAAACAGGCCGAATAGAATCTGTTCTCCTCATGTTGATAATGATGATGCATTTTCCTTGTTCACACCTTTCAACACACCCAAATGACACTTTGGAAGAAAAATAACAAGAATACAAATAAAAACAGATGGAGATAAAATGTTTGACTATGATCTCCACATTTTCAAGTGAGAAGATTCTCTGATGCCTTCTTTTGCCTCAGTGATTATGTAGTTATCAATTATTTTCATTTATTCAAGTGGACCAGTCACAGCATTATGAAAGTATTTAAACAAAGCTTAAACTACAGTGTTGACTTCCAGAAAACAATCCCCCCCCCTATTCCTAAGCTTGGAGAGAGTCTACATTTTCGCAATGGGGAAAATTAACCTAGTCTCACTGAATGCAGTCATAAATCATAAAAAAATGAGCAGCGCAAAGGAAGAAAACAGTACTTGGTACAACGGTAAATTGCATAAGAGACAGAGTGAGCTGTAAAGTGGGCCTTTATTTAGGCTCTTCAGGAGCATTACCTCCTGTGTTTGCTGTACACCAGACATTAGACCTTTTTTAATTCCCCGCACACTCAGTTTTCTACAGCAATCTGGGAACATCTCCTGTGCGTTAACCCAGTTCTGTTTGGTTTTGTACAAGTGGTAGAACAAACTTTTTAATGCTTCTGCATTTGCTAGTATTTTGTCCATTGGAAGTGGATTTTTTTTACATGCCACATACTTTGCTTGTAGCTGATCAGTGCTTTCTGCTGCACCACATACAACTAACAAACTGAAGTCACTTGCTTGTATCCTGCTTTCTTTGAGCATTTTGTTTTTTAAGTTTCTACCATTTTGCAAAAGAATCTTAAAGTTCACTTTCACAATATTGCACCATGTAAAATGCTGAATAGATTAGTTTAACCAAACTAATTATAAGTATTTAAGCTAACCAAAGGAATTGGCAAGATGAAAATTAGCAGAAGAAAAGGTTTTGTGTTTGCTAAGTTGAAGGAACACCTTGAACATGAACAGTCACAACAAAACAAACATATTGGTAATTCTGACACAAAAGGAATTTAGCTGTTTTAATTTTTGTAGATTATTAGGGAATGTAGTTGTCAGAAGTGCAAGATTAATTTATATAAGAGCCATTTCTCATTGTGGCAGATTTGACTCACTTTCTGATCTGCAAGTTCCACACAGGTAGGATTTTTGAATACTTATAGTCATCTTACACAACCCCACTCTAAGAAGATTATATTTCTTTAACCAGCAACTTTTTCTCAAGTATTAAAGTTTTTCAAGTTTGTTTCAGCCTGTTTATATGAAGTTTCCATCTACTTGTGCATAAATTTTCTTTGGGTATCTCAGATTGCTCCCTCACCTCAAACAGACGCTTTTCATGTTTTTTTTTGTTTTTTTGGCCAAACTGCCCTCACAAGTCTGAACAAAGTGTTTGTTAACCAAGTGATAGATGGCTACATTTCCAGGGTGTACTCAAGACCTACATGATTTCAAACAGAACAAAGTTGGGATACGAACTGGAAGAGTGGATGGAACATTTTATTTTTATTATTTTTTTAAGGCTTTGTTGGCTCTAGTGGCTTTTATTTGAAAGTAGTTTGACAGGAAAGAAGGTTATGAAAGAGGGAGGAGACAAATGTCACCAGGCCGGAAATCAAACCTGCGACCATCGGCAAGAGGACGAAGGCGTCAATTCATGGGCTGTGCCATGCCCCTGCGCTACCACGGCACCCTGGATGGAACATTTTAAAACCAATAAACAAACATTGCTAATCTTTTTTATTGGACTTAATTAATCCTGGATAAATTTGGGGTATTACAAAACTTTCCCTGTGAAGAATATTTCTAGGTTGTATGGTTCCAAGCAAACTCTTTGATGTCTGCTATTCTTTTCTTCCCCCCCCCCCCCTACTCATATGACTCCTTATCCTTAGACATTTTTCCAAGTCTCATCAAAGCCGTATCAGGCTGGGAGCCAGTGGGCTAACCTGATAGTGTCTGGCTATCCTTCACAGCCACCGGCAGGAAGAAGTGGGGCAGGAGAGTGACACAAAAACACACACACACACACGCACACATACATACACCACCCAATGGTGTGTAGCTTCTCTGCTCACTCCGTCTTGCTGCTGTGACTGGACTCCAGTGAAGGCAATTAGGCAAACTGTATGCTTAACTGGCACACCAAGGTGAAGGAAGGAGAGAATGTAAAAGAGACAATAAGTGGGTACGCTGTGGTGGGGAAGATATGTAAGAAACAGAGCAAACAGTGAGCAGCCTGTGTTTGCATAGCAACAAGAGGTGTGAGTAACTGATTGCCACAGTGTGTAAAGCGATTGTGAGGTGAACCTGCCCATGAAACAATTTGTAAATATGTTTTTATACACAGAATCTGAGCTACATTGAGCTTCTTAGCAGCATAACTGTTTATCAGTGCTTTGGTCACAGTGAATAAAGCTAAAATATTTGTGAAATGACGCATCATTTCTGCAGGCCAGTTTGCAATTCTATACCTGTCAGATGCATTTTGTATCACACTGTGCAATTATATGCTTGTTTTATATGTCTTATGCGAAACCTCGGACTCTGTGAGTGTGTGCGCTTCAGAAATGGTTAAAATTCGAGGCAAATTTACCAATAGCAAGCCAGTTGACTGATGATGGCTCGCTTAATTGAGGGAAAAATTGGTTTCCCCCCTGTGTGTTTGTGTGCCTTTGCTAAGGCTATGCTTGCACACACAGACACACACAGTCAAAAAAAACAAAAAAAAAACACACACACAAACAGGATTGTGGCTAACCACTAGAGATGCCTGTGCAAGCTCAATTAGCCTGAAAATTGAGTGGTTCGCCGGTGCAGCCAATAGAAAGAATGTGAAATGTATCTGACTGAGCCGATCAAGGCGGCGGCAGCAGCACAGTCAACGCCCAAATAAAAGACGCTAATTCCTCTGTGACTGAGGCTCCACTCAAACATGGGCTCAGACACACACTGATAGCTGAGTGGAGACACTGCAATGTGCAATAACCTGACTCAGAGGTAAACAAAGTTGTTAGTACTTATGGTAAAGGTTAGGAATAAATGCACTTGTTACTGCAGTAGCAAAATTTTACATTGAAAACTGAAACAAGTCCTACATTCAAATTGATTATTGTTAATAAAATTAATGTCAATGGATAGCTGACAGAATTATTGGTGCCTCTAAATGCTTCTGAAAATGTTTTCAGTTGTACTTTGTATATTTTTAAGGTGATCAGAATTTGTAGAAACCTTTCATTACTGACCAATGATGCATTACATGATGACACGGTTTTAAAAAGGCAACTATTGGACTTTTTTCTACATTATAAGGAATGTTTGGGAGTCATGTAAGAAACAACAAAACACATTCCTGTCCCACCATTAAAATATTTATAAACTCTACTGTAACCTCATTTGTAGTCATGTTTGTTTGTTTTTTTTGGTTTTTTTGGTCAGATTAGATTAATGCTAAGCTTTTTCGCAACATTTCACTATATTTGAAAAAGTACCTCGTGCCGACTTAAGTAAGGTGGAGGGTATGTGATGCTGTGGGCCTGCTTCTCTTCCAAATGACCCAGTCAACATTATCAGAGTGCATCTCTATGAATGCTTTAAAATATTGGATCATTTTACAGAGAAATTGAGCTGCCTCTACCAGTAAATTCAAGGCTTATATAAAATGCGAGGAGTGAGACATAGAAAACAAAGCACACAGAGAAACTAAAACCATCTAGAGAGATTGTGAAAAGAGGAATGGTCAGAGATGCCTCTTCCTTTATGTTGTTGTCACTTGTTATAAGGTTTTATTTTTCAAACTAATAGAGCTTGAGATTAAGCTACTGCAACCAAATAATCTATTTTGTTTAAACATTTTTTCCCCAGTGGCAGCAACTAATTTGTTGGTGCATTAAAACATCTTAAGCTTGATGTGCTGACCGTTAAGTTGAAGGATGTTTCGGGTTGACAGGCTTCCTCCTCTAAAGCCGGTGGTGACTTCACGAGGCGTGATGATGTGAGAATAAGACGATATCCCATTCGCTGCCCTCTTCCTGCTGGGGTCAGCTGGACATCCTGCAGGAAACAAACGGCAAAGTTATCACTGTAAGTGTGTGATGACAGCCATCAACACTCTGGTGAACCTCAACTTTAAAGTTGAAACAGATCAAAATTGTTTGTCTTTCAGGAGCAGGAGACACTTGAAGTGCCGCAAATCCGATGTCAGGCCACTTTTGTAGAAATGAGAGATAAACAGATTCCTGTAGCATTAAAAGTCATTTTTAACTCTCTGTATCACTTCTATGCGACAGGTCAACTTTTAACATAAGCTCAACACAAATACTGTATTTGTGTTGAAATTTTGTGTATCAGCTAGCACAAATGTAAATGAAATGTAAATGAAATGTACATTGGAAATATTTTTAAACCAATACGTTTGTGCTTGTGTAAATGTACGCAATAACAAATTACAGGCAACAACGTAATATCAGTATGCAGGTGAGAGAGTAATAATCCAAGATGTAAGAGACAATGGGGTGTACAAACATGATCAACACTACTGATGAAGAAGAAAAACTAACTATGTCAAATACATTTGTACCACAGAAAACCGAACACCTCATGTTCTTTAACTATTAGGCTTCTCTGACAAATTATGTAGACTAACATCATTTTCTTATCTCAAACCTGCTGAGATCCTGTGGAGGCTTCATGAAAAAAAAAAAAATTGTAAGTATGAAGAGCAAAACACCTGAAAACAGAAACTGAGAAGCAATATAAGAGCTACAAAAAAGTTAAAAAACAGCAACAACTTCGCATAATTATTTGGGGAAATTTACTGCTTATATAAAATATATAAAAGAAGCTGTTATCAATGTCATTAGTTTTTTATCCATGCTCACTGTTTATTAGTGTTTTTATATGTAAAATATCCTGCTGATTCTTTAGAGAAAAAACATTGGAATCTGCCTGAGGACACCAGCAGGGGCTCCACAAATAGATCTTATCTCAGTTTGATTTCAGATAGTTTAGTTTGACGAGAATGTGTTGCCCCAGTTTTCCCAGCAAGTTTTCTTGCTTCTTTTCACTGAGACTCGTGTCTATAAGCAAGTATGACAACACAGAAAGCAAATTCAGTTTTATTAAGACAAATTTGTCTCTTGATGTTTGATCACACACTGCATTCTTAGGTCACCATCAGTGTGAGTCTGTGGTAGAGGCACAATTATCCACAGAATTAGCATCTGTACAACAGCTGTACCTTAGCATGAAGTTTTTGACATATCAAGCCAGAATAGGATCCAAAGTAAATAAATAAATAAATAAATAAATAAATAAATAAATAAATAAATAAATAAATGTGCTTGGTTTAGGAGTTATTTATTCAAAACAGCTTTTAAGGCAACAACTTTTTCAAAAAGTCCAAAAGTTTGCGGTTGTCATTTGGAGCTTGAAAGTGTCACTGGGCTTTTGTGTAACGCTCAAATGGAATGTAGAAGAAAACGGATTGAAATTGGTTGTAGATGCCAGACAGATGTGTTTGTGAAAATCCTAGTATATCAGCAGTTTATCAAGTGCTCAAAGAACCATGGACTGATAGACAGTTGTCTGGAAAACAGAAACTATCCAGTGAGCAGCAGTTGTGTGAACGCCTTGTTGATGTCAGAGGTCACAGAATAGGCCGACTGCTTCAAGTTAGTACAAGAGCAACGGAGGCAAATAACCGTGTGTTACAACCAAGTACAGAGAAACTTATTGAACCTCGAAGTGTGCAGGTGACAGTAGCTGAAGACTACACTAGGCACCTCTCCTGTTAGCAAACAGCAGGGTGCAAAGGCTACAATTCAAACAGGTTTACTAAAATTGGACAGTAACACATTGGAAGTGTCTCAGGTCCTGATCTCAGTTTCAACATTCAGCTAGTAGAGTCAGAATCTATCTTCTGTAAACCGTTTGGACTGTGGTGGTAGTTTAATAGAGTGAAAGATTGTTTTCTCTGCACACTTTGTACCGTACTGTTGCTGACTGTGTCCATCTTCTTATAACCCCGGTGTTCCCATCTTCTGATGGCTACCTCGAGTGGTGCTTTGTGCCACTCGAAAGCTGAAAAAATCTCAAATTGGTTTCTGGAACCTGAACACTAGATCACTGTACTCCAATAGCCTCCAGTGTCACCACATCTCAATTCCACAATGCACATTTGGGATGTGATGGAATGCCACGTCTGCATCATGAATGTGAAGTTGATACATTTGTAGTGACGGCAAGAATCTGCCATGTTAATGAAGACCAAAACCTCTCAGGAATGTAAAACTTAGTAGTCGCTGTTGAGATCTTATTGAGAGCCTCATCTGTTCTTGCAATTTGCACTCCATCGAGTATTGCAAGTATAAGAAGTCAGCATTTACTTACTCAGTTAGCGAGGCTGCAGTGAGCTGATTAACAGAGGTACCTTTCCCAGCTTGCCGACTGTAAATTAAATTCCCATTTTTAACAATGTGAATGATGATTGCAAAGGCTCAATCAGCTACTCTGAATCACCGTTGTTAAATACAGCATCAGTATTTTCGCACAATTTTAAGCCTAAGAGCTTAATTTGAAACAAATTAGACCTAATCTACAGCCGCTGCCGGACAAAGAAGGTAGAAGTAAAACTGATCAAAGTGAACTCAGTTTTTCCTCAATGTTTCCAGGCCCTAAATCTCAGTATGCCAAAAATGAGGTGCAAACCTGAAACAAATGTAGCATTTTCTGAGGAGCTGTGCAGCTCCCCGTTCAGGGTGCACTCTCATCGCGTATGAAATGTAGCGAGAGCAGCAATTAACTGCCTCTTCTGCCCAGAACTGACACATCAGATAGCTTGCAGGAGTTTCAGAGGGGAAGCCAAAAGCATCCTCCAAATCTTTCAAAGGAGAATCCTTTCATCAACAAACAGATAATAGGCAGCGGCTAAATGAATAATGTGGAGTCGGTGTTGCTATGCAAACAGAGGCAGACGGTGCTGTTCTGCAGATTAATGGGAGAGGTGTCTGCCATCCCAAAGCATTTTCCTCATCATCCATCACCCTACACTGGCCACACCGTTCAGTCGGGTGCATTTGCCCGAGTTATATTTCCTCAAATATTGGTGTGAACATATCACTTATGCTGTAGAGTTTAGAGAGCACATCCAATCAAAAGCAAATGTCTTATTCCCAGTTCCTCGTTGCAGATTTTTCCATCCGTTATTCTTACTGTGAAGATATCGCATCTATGGTAGGTTTTTGTTTAATTATCATCACCATCAAACATAAGATGGTGTTACAAGTAGGTAATAAAAATAATGCGATGATGAGGAACCAAAATTATTTGGATGTCGATGCAAGTATGGATGTCTTGCTCTCAGTCATATAAACCATCCACAGCTACTGAATCAAACACAGAAATTCAAACTTCAATAGAGAGAGTGTTGCACACTGTGTGGAGAAGAAAATTCGTGAACAAAGACTCAGGAGGTTGAAGTCTATCAAATTTATCAACTGCCTGACGCTGCCGCATGACAACAGCCCTACCACCTCATTTGCCCTGCTAGCAGTTCTTGAGGTTAAGGCCAAAACAAGCCACTGATTTGCTGGCCTCCAGAACAAATGAGAGCGAGCGCCAGGGGGGTTTCAAAGTAGCCTGCGGTATTCGATTTCTTCTGCTTCGCCATTCCGGGCCACTGACCTTTCAAAATAAGCAGATTCAGCCTCACCTTAAGGCTAACGGCAAGTCTGATATAGTCTGGCGTAATTGTGCCAGCAGTGAGAGCTTTTAATGACGGAGAGATACTTCATGTGGGCTGTCATCTATAGCCAGACTAACGGCCAGGTAAATTTCACTGATATTTTGTCCCAATTGTGGCAGTATTGAGGAAAAGAAAATTCTACTCTCTCCAGCTGCAAAAGTCAGTTTCTTCAGGGCTTATCAGGCCGCTGCAGATGAGCAGCACTGTCAGGTCTGCACAAGGCTCTAATCGCCCGTTTCCACTGTGCTAAAGCAGATATACGCTTCCTGCTTGTGTGTCCTTCTGCGCGTCCTGTGTGTTAGTTGTGGAGGAAATCGGACTTAGAAAGAAAGAATACAGATTCAACAGAGTCAGCAATATTATTTCATACAAATAACATTTTTTAAAAAAAATCACAGAATTTTTCTGAAAGAACATTTAGTGATTTTAAATAAGATGCAAAAGTCTGAGTTTACCACAAGACCCACAGACCTTTCATAGAACTATATTAACTGTGTCTATGGTTGAATTTGGCATTAAATTTGTAAATACAACTATTTTTTTTTTACCAACATTTATGAAAAACTTTCAAACCAACAAAGATTTGAATTTGTGATTTCATTTTTATCAATCTTTGAGGACCATCAACCTTATTCCTCAATCCCATAAGGCTTTAAGTGGACTTTATTGACAACTGCACCAGCATTGTTACATTTAAACAACCAATCACTTTTGCACAGGAAAAAATGGCTAAACAGAATAATATCGCACTACCAGTCCCTACATCTGTCAAGTATGTATGATTAGATGCCAACAGAAACAAGTCTGCTGCAGCTGATATCATGCCAGATGATGCTAATATGGTAATTCCTATAAGAACACCACCAGGAATAGAGTGGATATTTACAAAAGGTATAGAGAAAGACCATCAAGACTTATCAAGTTACCCAGTAAGAGAGAGAGAGAAAAAAAAAAACACAAGCAGTGACACTTTACATTAAAAAACAAACTACATGCCACTTGTGCAGCAGGACAGGTCTGCTAGTGAACACACAGCAAAGACATCACATCACCCTCCAGTGTCATAGACTATGCATGAAGCTGTTGAAGAGGAGAGCTGCTTCAGTGACAGACTGCTGCATCCTAAGTGCAGAAAAGAGGGTTATTGCAGATCCTTCCTCCCAGCAGTAGTTATATTTTATAATATCACTGCTCCCAACAAACTCAATAGGTGTTGATATCCCTGCTGGTATTTGCACAGCTTTCTCCTTTCAAATAACATTTCCATTCTTGTTTGCACATCTCTGCTGTTGCACAGTTTTTATCACTT